CCCTTTTGCTATCAAGCTAATTTATCTATACCCTTTTCCCTTGATTGATAAATTTAGTCTCTGAATCTTCAAATTGTTGCTTTTGGTGTTGGCCTACAGGAAGTCCTTAAATATGGAGTGTAACCTGCTAATTAACTCAGTTGGGTCAACCAACTTACCTAGGTGACTTCTTCCACTTCTCTGTCCCTTGAACTTAGGGTTTTCTTTATGTGATTTGGAGATTTTATTTTATACTGCTATCTGTTGCAATGTGGGATCTTGATATGCCTTCTCTGTCAATCTTTTTTGAGTTTAAGTTGTATGCATTGACAGTCTAAAAATACTTAAACATATAGGTGATTTATAAGGTCATAACAGATCTAAGTGATAAGCCTGGTAAGAATAGTAACTAACTTGTTATTACAGGTTAAATTATACTGATAGCTAATATATTTTTACATTGTTAGTGCATGCTGCTTAAATCCATCTTTTATGCTTGTGTTATTTTATTACTATTTTGCGTTTCCTTTTATCCTTTAATCTCGTTTTGTTTTATTCTGATCAAATAATTTTGATCACTAAAATGCTGATATGTGGAATTTGGCTTTTATTGAAACTTATAAGGTTCACAGTGGAATATATCAATGGAGTTCGAGGAAATATGGCTTCATACAAAACAAGAATTGGTTTTCATAGGATGCATAAATCATTTCTAGTCCCTACTTGGAAATACAATATCCCAGGTACCTCTTGGAAAATATTTTGTGCCCCTGAAAAGTTGGAGCAGCAATTTTCAGTGGTAGTATCAACGAAAAGAGCAGAGGTTGGTGAGTCTGATCCTGAGGCTTCACCTGAAAAAATCCCTGCAAAACCTTTGAGTAGCGATGAGGTAATCCAAGAGCAATGACACTGTTACATACCTGTTATTGAAAACAAAAGCTTGTACAAAAAGCAAATCAAAATTTTCTTATTCCACCTCGTTGGATGTTGTATGATTCTTCCTTTGATGTTGCCGTAAGTATATAGAGCAGATTTTAACTATGTTGACTCTCTGCTATCTTAACAGTTGAAGTTACTGCTTGCCGATGCTGAAAGATTAAAGCTTCTCAAGAAATTGAGTGAAGCCAATCAATATAATCGGTTGCTTAAGCGAGAGGTACATATTTTGTTGGTTTCCAATGCTATCTCGATTTTATTATGAGACTGATAATGTGGATGATTCTCCATTTGAGTTTCTTCCACCCATAATATTAGTGCTATGTGAGATAAAACTTGCCTTTGTCAACCAGGAGAGAACAGTAAATTTAGAATATTTCATCCTCTTGTGAGCAATGAGTATTAGGAGGAAA